GGGGGTCACGCTTTGATATAAATACGGACCCCCTCTCCCCCCTCCCCAGGCCGGCTGGCGTGGCTCAACCCCTGAGCCAGGAACCCAGAGGTCCCTAGTTCCATTCCCGGTTAAGGGCGCATGGCCGGGTTGCGCGCTCCATCCCCAGTGGGGGGCGTGCGGGAGGCAGCCGGTCCGTGATTCTCTCTCCTCCTGGATGTTTCTCTCTCTCTCCCCCCTCATCTCCCTTCCGCTCTGAAATCAATAAAAATATTTAAACAAAACAAGATGGTATACAGGTGATGTGTCATGGGATTGTGCCTCTAGAACCTGAATAATTTTGTTGGCCAGTGTCACCCCCAATGCGTTCAATAAAATGGAAAAGGACTTTTGAAAGTATATCTGAGCCCGGCCAGTGTGGCTCAGTGGTTGAGCGTCGACCTAGGAACCAGGAGGTCACGGGTTCGATTCCCGGTCAAGGGCACAGGCCCGGGGTTGCGGGCTCCCTCCCCAACCAGTAGGGGGCGTGCAGGAGGCGGCCGATCCATGATTCTCTCTCATCCTTGATGTCTCTCTATTCCTCTCCCTTCTATGAAATCAATAAAAAATATATAATTTTTTTTTAAATAAAGGGAAATGTGATAAAGAAAGACGGGGTGTCTGGGGTGTGCCTTTGGCACGACAAGAATTTTCTGTGGCATCCACTCGAGTTGCAGCTAAAGGGGCCTAACAGATACCTGTTCCCAGGGTCCACTTTGAGGTTGTCAATCTGGGGCCGGCCCAACGGAACCGGGAGGGGAGGTACCACTTTTGATTCAAGAAACCCAAACACGCCCACGGGTCACAGCCTCTGGTGCGGGGAGGGTCTGGCGAAAATCTGAGAAACACGGCAGCTATGGGCGGAGGTTGACGAAACCAGGCCGCTACCTAAGCCCGAACCCTAAATCTTAACCCTGAATCTCAACCCTAACCCTATACCTAAACCCTAAATCTAAACCCTAAGCCTATATCTGAACCCCAAATCTAAACCCTAAACCTAACCCTGATCTAGATCCTAAACCCTAGCCCTGACCCAAACCCTGAACCCTAAACCTAACCCTAAATCCTAACCCTAAACCCTCGCCCTAACCCCAACCCTAAACCA